GGTCTGTGAAACATCCTAAATGTGGTAGAGGTTTGTAGTAACCCCAACACTTGATGAGCACTAGACTCTGGTCTGTGAAACATCCTAAATGTGGTAGAGGTTTGTAGTAACCCCAACACTTGATGAGCACTAGACTCTGGTCTGTGAAACATCCTAAATGTGGTAGAGGTTTGTAGTAACCCCAACACTTGATGAGCACTAGATTCTGGTCTGTGAGACATCCTAAATGTGGTAGAGGTTTGCAGTAACCCCAACTCTTGATGAGCACTAGACTCTGGTCTGTGAGACATCATAAATGTGGTAGAGGTTTGTAGTAACCCCAACACTTGATGAGCACTAGACTCTGGTCTGTGAGACATCATAAATGTGGTAGAGGTTTGTAGTAACCCCAACACTTGATGAGCACTAGACTCTGGTCTGTGAGACATCCTAAATGTGGTAGAGGTTTGCAGTAACCCCAACACTTGATGGTCAGTAGACCCCTGGTCTTGGGGTGGAGTAGAACAAGTAGCAGCTCATTTGTCATCATTAGCAAACCCCATTCTCCTCCAGGAATCCCGTTTATGCTGTCAGTATATCTCCTGACTCACCACTGCTCCATAATTCACTTGGCATTCACTGTCTTACCTGATGAACAGATGGCTCTGGTTGGCTGTAGTACTATTGGGTTGAACTACTCTTGCTTGTGTGAGTTTGGGATTCTTGTACAGACTGCCATATCTGGTTTCAGACTCACCAGATGCCAAACCACCAAAGGGGTTGACTCTCAAAGGAAGAACATGATCAACAGATCTGGATGCTTCAGATATTGACAGCTCTTCCACCCAAGTAGGTTGCAACAAGATCCAAGTCATGGACCTTCACAGCAAGATCAAAGTCATGGACCTTGGAGAGAACTTCTAGACCTGAAAACTCTCTCAGGTCACAAGTCTTACTTGTCAAAAATACCATTTCTAAAACTAAATAATAAAAGAGCTTAAGTAAAGAGTAGTACGTACTTCACCACCTAATAGCAAACTCCAGAATAATGATATCATGCAGTCATGGCACCAAAATTTCTTGTTACTTAACCACTCTGTGGTATATTCAGGTAAAGTAAATTAATGTTAGAGCTCCACCATATAAGGAACTTCTTTCAAGAAATGGAATCATTAAATTGTATTAAAATACTTACTAACTAAGACTAAATGAAATAAAAAGACTGGACAAAATGTGATGAGCATTACCAAAACACTTAACATAAAAACAGTATTACCTAAACTAAGGACTCAGTCAGACTGCAGCTTTGTTCCTTTACTTTACAGTGCCTTTTTTAAGCTCAACTTGGTTTGTATGCCTTGATTTACTCAGCATTTATTGATTTACGAGTAAAGAAACCTTGTATTCATACTGTTTGACTGATGCTACCACATGACAAGTTATTTTCAGAAAAATACATTAACCCATAACTATTACCTGAACGACCGCTGAAAGATGTTACTTACTTCTTCCTTACAGAAGGTCGAATTAAGCAATGTTCTCCGCAGGCAGTAAAAGGATACACTTAACTTTGAGAATAACAAGGACAACGTAATGGTTTTCTTGATCACATATTCAAAACAAAGAATGAACTTAGAATCAATATCATAACATTAGGAGAAGATATAAATCGATGGTATATTCCTATGCCACATTACTACTAGGTAAAACCAAATGTTTTCATTTTCAAAGAGTACATATTTAGTTTAAGGGAATTTTAGTTTTGGTGTTTTTTACTTCTATAAAAATGATTCCAGCTTGTTTCTCATCCATTTAAAACTCCCAAAATTAACATTTTCCTCACCTGAAAATATGCTTCAGGTAGATACCTCTCCCATGGCCAGGTGGTTATGGCGCTCGACTCGTAATCTGAGGGTCGCAGGTTCGAATCCCCATCACACCAAACGTGCTCGACCTTTCAGGCATGGGGGTATTATAATGTGATGGTCAATCCCACTATTCATTGTTAAAAGAATAGCCCAAGAGTTGGCGGTGGGTGGTGATGAGTAGCTGCCTTCCCTCCAGTCTTACACTGCTAAATTAGGGATGGCTAGTGCAGATAGCCCTCATGTAGCTTTGCGTAAAATTAAAAACAAACAAAATACCTTTCCACAGGACAAATAGCTAATACCTCACTCCACTGCAAAAACTTCTGTACGTGTATTCAGCCTTTGAACAAAACTCCCACATGTAATAACACATATTGTGCCAGTGCATGATGCAACCAGAATTAGACTATATATATATCCTTCCACCATAGTAGGGTGATACATTCTCCATCTGCAGTACTCCTATTGAGCATTGTGTATACCAAAAGATCATTCTTTATGAGGCAGAAGTAACATCACAACTTGGGGAGAGAAGGCGAGTGGTTTTGGACAGGTATCTATCTGACATACCTTTTCAGATAAAGAAAATGATAATTTCAGAAACACTACTTGCCTTTCCACAGAACAAATAGCCAGAATCCCATGCTGAAAAGATGGTAGAAGAACCGGTGAAGATAAATATATTATGAAAAGAAGCTATTTTTCTGAGAATAAAGAAACTGAAACCTCATTGTGTTGCCCTTTTTCTTTGGGGGGGGGGGGTAGTGGAAGCATCACTCAGTTGGAGATTGCATTTAACAAGGAGTACTTGTCATCCAATAAAATGGTACTGTATAAAGTCCCTCTTGTGTGGTGCTAAAGTGTCATATAGGCAAATGAAATGTAAAGGCTGTTCAAACAACCTGTATATCATAAAAGATCAGCAGACCATGTATGTTTAGGTGTGGCTAGGATAATGTATCAAGCCATAGAGTGTATGAGAAATATGTATTATACTTACCAGGATAAGCCGTTGCAGGGTGAATTATCCCAGACTTACATCCAGAGACGAATATAAGTTGGTTATAACTACCAGGAGTGGTCTGGTATTTAGTGTAGGGGTGGTTTGTAGTATATTTCCAGTTACACACCCTTGCCATACTTGTGATCAAAGGATGCATGTACTTGGTGTCATACTAGTAGGATTACACTGACCATAAGGGGCATTGTTTATAATGACCTCCCCGGTGGCTTGTTACTGGAGGAGCAACAGTTCCTCCCCTCCATTACAAGAAAATGGGACAGAGGAATTTATGTAGAAGAGAACACTGGAGAGATGCATGGACAGAACTATAATAACCTGTAATCTGCATAAGGTTTCACACTGAGAATGACTGTGCAATGGGTTAATGTAAACAAGGAAAGCAGGAGCTGAACACATCCTGGTTTTTTTTTGTAAGTAGCAGTATGGCTTTGGAGGTAAAATATATATTGCCAAAGCAGATTTGCACAAAATGCCATTGCAAAAGAGGACACTAAGCTAGGACAGTAGGGCTTAACACTGTTATCCCTTACTGGTGGTGAGTTCCTTTGTCTCCTTTATTTTATATATATTATTTTGACTTTTGTATTTTGAGGTGTTTGCTTTTTTTTTGTATGTGGAAATTGCAAGAAAAATAATTAACAACTTACCTCTTTAATGCCTCTGGAAAGACTGGAGGAAGATGAAACCCAGAGGTTGAAGAAATAACTGTGTGGCATAAGTAATGTAACACAAATATGTCTGGGGTCATCCACTTCTGCAAAGAATGCCAGTGGCAAGAGAAGCCATGACATGACTAACTTGATGAGAGGTAACATGAAAAGACAAAAGGAGTCATCTTCCATAGAGTAATAGATAAGCTGAGTGAGTTGTTTAACTCAGCCAGTTAAGGTAAAAAGAGAAATCATGAGCAAAATAGGAATCCCATGGCAAAAAAAAAGATGTTTATTGCCCCAACAATTGAAGAAGGTAACAGTAAATGGCCTGAATAGGACAAAGGAGTTGATCAGGGTCTGAATAATTGTACATAGAAGAAAGGGAAGGTGACTGGAGAAAACATCTGATGGATCACCCCTCCAACTAGCCCATGTCTTGGAGAAAATAGATTGGCCTAGAAATAAATAAATCTGTCCTTGTGGTAAAGAGTGTGTGGGGGAACCCAGAGGAAAAATATCAGAGTGACATTTGCAAGAGAAAGATGGTATAGGAAACAGGTGGCCAGAGGTTCGAATGAAGAATATGTAAGAGCCCTGACAACTGAACAGAGGTTCCAATCCAAAAGAGGAACCAAATGAGGAGGAAAACTGATTAGAAAGGCCCAGAAGAGATCTGTAACAACTGGAGGAAGAAAAGGAAAATGTGCCAAGGAAACAATTGAAGGTCATCAACAGAGTCATTATGTAACTACCAATTGTAGAAATGGATAGACAGCCTTCAAAGAGCCTGATAAAAAAAGGAAGTGAGATGAGGAAGGGAGTGGCAAATGGACCAGCATCAATAAATCACTCACTTGGGTTGATAAATTAAGGGTGGATAGCCAACAAGAGTGAACAAGAAAATGGGCTGCTTTGAAAGAAAAACCTCCCACACATGAAGATGAGGGTGTGGAATACTGTGGTGAAAGATGGACATCCAAGCCAGATGTAAAAAGAGACCTACAAGATAGAAGAGATAGATGTTCTGGGATTGCTAAGAAGCAAAGGAGTGGAAACATGATTAAGCTGGCCAAAAGAAAAAGAAAAAAAGAGCAAATGAAATGAACCTAGCAAGGAGTACTGTGAATTAAAAACAGCATCGTAGGAAGACGTTAAAGAGGAGGATAGGTATAAAGAGAGTGGAACAATCCAGACCAAAAGGGAATATTGTCAGGACTATAGTTTTTGGGATTAGTGACAAAGAAAGGGGTAGCTTGATGTATAGGACAATAAAAGGACTCCCAAGGTGGGAACAAATCCACAGAAACACCAGGAAATACAAGAACAACTCTGTTGGAAGGATTCATTCTGGGTTAGAGAGCCATTCTGCCACTAAATTTAGAGCTTCCAAAAGGCCAACATCCAAATGTTCTTGTCATAAGTCCAGAAGAAGAGCTTGAAAACAAGTAAACATAGGTTCCTAGAGTGAGTACCTCCTTGTCGGTGTATGTAAGAAATGAAAGTGCAGTTGTTGAAATATATCAAAACATGATATTCAAACAGCTGTAACAAAAGATGGGGACAGTTCATCCCACATCTTAAAGACAATGATGTGGAAAGACTGCTTCACAAGAGACCAAGCACTGAAAATGGTGATGGTATTCAGAACTGCAACCTACCTGGAATCTTTCAACAGGTGTAAGTCTTTGTGGGATGGAATAAGATGATTGCACAGAGTTGAGTGGAAATGTTCAAGGCACCATGATAGTGAAAGATAAAGAGATGGTGCTAGAGAAAACAATGGATCACAGAGCTTATCCCACTGAAAGGAACATAAAAGGACACGTCCAGAGGAAGAAAGTATGTGGGAGTCCCCAGAAGAGCCTTGAACACCACAAGTTCTATATCTTGGAAATTTAAAAGAGAAGGTTGAGCCCATCCAGCAAACAAGAAGAGAAAGACACAAATGAATGAGCTACTCAATAGGAGTCAATTAGAGCTGACATAGGAGTCTGGCCAGCCAACCCAAACAAGTAGACTCCCACAGGTGAAGGGAGGATGTCTCCTAGGAAAACTTTAAGAGATGCCAAAAGTTTATATAGTGGTAGGCATGCAGATCTAACAAGTGCATTCTCCATGTGAAAGCCCCAAAGACTGAGAGGTTACTTTCAGAAACAACTGATCATTGAACCCCATAACTTCATAATAGCTGGCATCTTGGACAAGGAACCCACCAAGAAACTACTGCATGGTAGAAGGGTACCAAGTACAGTTCCACCAAATAAAACTTAGGGTGTCTCACTCTAGACAATGAGGTATCCCAATGATACAAATATCATAAACAAACAAAGCAAGTGAACTCAGGAACAGTTGAAGAACAAAATGGAGCAACTTTATCTATTAAATCAGTTAGGGTTGTGATGCAGAGCCCAAGAAAAAAAAAGGGTAAGGTGGACAACAAGCTTAGGGGAGCAAGCAAAAGAGAGTGAAAATAGAAGAAAATTCCAAGCTGTAAGACAAAATTCGAGGGATAGGAGCATTATAAAATAAAAATATCAGCCACAGAAAAGGAGTCTTGGATTCGGGGAGAACATGGGAACTGAGAGTCAACAAAAAGCAGAGACAATAAGAATCTGCAATAATTCAACAATCAGGCAGGGAAAGAAAAAAATATTAGAACTGAAGTGAAAGCACGAAGCTCACCTGAGAACCAACAGAAACATCTGGAGTAATAGAACAAATATCACAGTTATTAGAGCAGTAAAAGACAAGGGGGAATGTTACCCAATCTTTGTTAGTGACAGAAGAACCGAGGCAAGTGGTAGAAAGAGTTGGTCAAAGTCATCCAAAGACAAACCAGGCTTGGCAGAAGTTAAAGAATTGGGAATCCACGAATCCAAGATTTAAAATTAATAAAAGATAGAACCAACCACACGATGTATAATGGTTGTTACATTATTCACCAACATAGTAACTCCAGTCCTCATCTACAGAAAATAAGACAATTTCTATGGAAGAGTGCATGGATCTGAAGAGGAATCGGAAATGTGGATACGAGAAGTTGTATTCAATAAGATCCAGGAAAACGAACTTGTGTAAAGTATGAATATTATTATTTCTACGATTTTTTTTTTCTGTACGTGTAGTACATCTGTGGTACTTATGCCTTGGTAATCTTTGAATTGAGGAAATTGAGATGGTGATGGGGAATATTCCTGTCAAAGAAACCAGATTCTGGAACACTTCCAAATATTTGATAGGTTGATTAAGAGAACAAAACCAACTAATATAAGAAAGGATAATAATTGTCATCAGAAACTCAAACTCAAATCGGGGTTGGCAGTGGCATGAGCAGTGTGTTGTGTGAAGAGGTGATTAGTGTTTCTGAATATACTATATTGCACATATTAATACTTACTTCTCAGAAAGACATGAAAAACCACATGGAATCACAAAAACAAATATATCGTAATTATAGGTAGCTGATTATTGGAGAGAATTATTTCTGAATATGCAAAACAATTGTGTGTGTGTAAATCACCAGTTTTTAGATACAAGTGGTGGTCACTGTGAAATTTAATTAATATGTTAGTCTAGCAGTTTTTGATATTATATTTTAAAATGTAAAAACACGGGTCCAAACTAACTTACATTCTAATATGAAATTAAAGAGCAGTGTCTCCTAATCTATGGGAATAACACTGCACAAGAGCCTTTACATTTTTTAAAACTACTATGTTACTAAGCATTGCTTTCATCATCATAACATTTAGGGTGAAATCTGGAAACACATTATGATCTTTTGTGTTTTTTCTACAGACACAGTATAGTAAAGATGTACGAAGACAGTAATCTTCAAATCCACCGGGCTCCCTTACGACGTGGTGCTAGTTTAGATGCAGCTGGTAAGCGAAACCTGTTTGTTGCTATGAGACAACCATCATTGGATGACATAGAGCATGAACAATGCAAGCTTGAGCCCAAAGAAGATGGTCGAATTTCTGTCTTGACCGATGAGGTGAGTTGTGTGTGTTTTAAGAATATCTTTTTTTATTTAGAAGGTTTTAGATACGTAAATGATTTCTATACCTTTACGAAAGTCTGGTTTAATTTAGTGACAACAACAACATGTCTTTACTTACGGTCTCCTTTGTCATCTAATGCTGAAAGATATAAATGCTTTCAACTAGCATTTTGTCTGTAGATTTCCTACACTTGTTGGAACACTGTTAACTCTTTCTGGAATTCTTCATTACACGTTTTTATTTAGAACTACTAAATATGTCTGCTTTAATTAGAGATTTGTATCGAATGTTTTCTTCCTATTCTTTCATATATGCAAGTTCATTAATACCTAACTGTGTAACTAAGTTTTAGTTTTCATTTGAACACTAGAAATATAGAGACAAAGATCATGTTAATAAGTATAATACACCTGGATAAACAAAGAATGTTTTATCAAATTTAAGTGAGCGGAAGCAAGTTCCTTAGGAGGAATAAACGCCGTTTAACTTGTTGTTTCTATGTGTAATTAAAAGTTAAATAGAATGGCTTATTTATCCTTTTTTTTCCCCTTGTTTAAATAGCAAGCATTATCGTGTTTTGTCATGTTTATGTTTTGTAGTTTTATTTTAACCCGTGTTTCATTCAATGTTCCATAATAAACCTGATGTTTTTTGTTTTTTTCTTTTTTTGGATGTCTTGTGTTAATTTTTCTTGGTTTTGTGTCCCGATTCCTGCACTTCCAGAAACCCCAGCACTAAATTCTCCACCTTGTGTCTGTGATTGATGTTCAGCCACGTTGTGCTCTGCAGCATGAACATAGGATTTTTTTTTTTTTCGGGCTGAAGAAGTCAAGTTTTGTCATCTAACAAGAATCAGCTGACTCCTACCCATAACCTAAAGCTTTATGTTTTTAGTCAATCTCAATGTGATTCGTGTTTGTTACAAGAGAGTTACTATTTACATACGTGTTCTTTACCCATTTTATTTTCTCCTTTATTTTATTTTTTTATTCCTAACATCTCTATTTTTGAAACAAACAAAAAGTTGTTTTCCACATGTATCTATTTTGTTAACTGCCTTTTAATTCTAATGCAATTTTGTGGCTTATTTTGCTACAGTTTAACGCTTGTTGGTTGGTTGTTTTCCAGCAGAGAATGAGTTACAGGTGTTTTTTTTTAAATATTTTTTACATAATTTATTATATGTTATATTTTAAAGATCGTTTGATATTTACATTCAAACATTCCTGAATTAATTTACTTTAGGAAACAATAAAAAAAAAGTATTTATTTTTTAGATAAAATGGTGGAACCTAGGTAACCTGTAGATTTTTTTGGTAATAGTTAAGAAAAAAAAAGTGATGAAATAAATTAAATTTTAGATTCAAATAGAGAAATGTTTTTTGTTTTTTTCCAAATCATTTTAAGACATGGTAAAGAAGTAGAGAAACACATAGTAGGATTGAAAAAAAAAAGTTATACCATGTATATTGACACTAACCTAAATAAAAATTGTATAGTCCTACAATTTATTTATTAAGATTACAATTGAGGTAAGTTTTAGAAACGGGCAGGGATGCTCACAGTGAGCTTAAAACTAGTATTGTGACTGTGAGTTTACAGGATTCTAAGTTATACAGCAGGGTAAAACTAATACCAAACATTCTTGATACCTAATGGTACATTACCTTTTCAAGATATATAAAAAAAAAATGCTTTGTCTCTGGTATCATCAGGTTTGGTGTATATGCATTTTGTTTTTACAGTTTCCGGACTTTGCCAAATATTTCTATCATTATAACAAAACATTTTATCTTAAATCCATAAAACATTTTCTAATCTGTTTAGTGATAAAGAAATTTCAGATACTCATATTAACTTACAGATTACTGAAAACAAGCATGTAGTGAAGCTGAGTTATAAAACAAAGTTAAAGTAGTTAATATTTATTTAAAATGTTCGAAATGCAACGTTATCATACGTGAAAAAGGAATTAAGCTTATAGTGTTGACATTATTATTTTTACATGACAAATCTTAATACAAATAAAGTATGTTTAAAGTTATAAAAGAAAAGTTGTGTTTGATGGGATAAAGTTCCCTAAAAGTGACATTTTGTAACAAATAAATGCTCTACTACCTACCCAGCTACTTCGATAACAAAGCTCTTCATTCTAAGGGATATATACGTAAAACAACTTTAAGCTTTCATTTTTATACTACTGTTTGTGTTGAGTGGGATTGGTACATGTTTTCTAAGACCCTAAGAAGTTTCTGTAACTAAGTACTAACAATCATTAGATTAACTTGGTGTCAAAGTTATGTTAGTGTCTATTTATATAGATACATATGTCTATAATTTTAGTTTAAATGACAATACTTTGTGTTCGTCCATGAGGAGCCTGCCCCATTCTTAAGTTATTACTGATACGTCACAAACTTTGGGAATAAATTTTGAAAATAACTAACAGTGCTGACAAATGTAGTGTTTTACTTGAACTTTGACCCAAGAATCCATGTAAATTCCTGTGTACTGTGGAAAGGTTGCATGATTACAGAAAAGAAACGACAGCAAAGGGTATAGATCCGTACGCGAATTGTTGAGACAAGAAAAATTGTTTGTCCAGAACAAGAAAGTTTTAGAACCATTGCTCTCATCTATTTCCAAGGCGATTGCTACTTGCAATATACTCACAAACGCGGACTCTGATGACTTGTTTATTAAGTATTTTATCTAAGCAATGATGCAATTTTTTAAAATATAGTTTTACAAGAACACACTATCACTGATGAAAAACACGTTGTATAATTAGTTATAAGCTGGTCATTGTCATTGTCTACACCAGAGTATGGCCATGTTCCCACTTTGATGTATTGCATGTACAAAACTTGCATGAACACTAGATAAGCAACACTAGAAAGATGAGAACATTTTATTATCAATACTGTTATCGATTGAACTTGTGACAGTGTTGGGTTTGTCACTGGCAAAGATAACTCGCCTCCTTGATTCATATTATACACTAACATTATGTATGCTTTGTATTATACACCAACATCCGTGTCTACTTACTTGTACTTATGAGAACATAATGGGGGAACTAACTATTTTACATGCCTGTATACTATGTCACCAAACCTGAACTGTTACATTAAATCCCAGCATAACCAATTTTCTATGCTACTCCAACAGATTGTTTACAACATTATACTACATCGTAAAAGTTATTAACACTAATTAATACAAGTTTAAGAATGTTAAAAACTTTGTTTAGAGATACTATTTGTACTTTTCTCAAAAACACGTAACTGTCAGTCGAGTTAATTGACAGTAATTTTTAACTAACATCAACTACTTTTTTTAAGTTGTTAAATACAGAAGTGCATGATTTACAGTGTGCTTCTATAAAGTTAGGTCCTGGAATCAGAATGTTAAAAGAGCCACAGAACAATTGCAAAACAGTTTCTACCTACTCAAAGAATGGTGCCACCCTCGTACAACTAGGCCTAGAACAGAGAGTTAGTCAAGACTGGGTGGCCGAAACCAAGACCAATTTATTTTCTGTGATGAACCTTATAATCTTAAAATTTTTTAATCAAAACAAGAGTTACAATAATAAGTTTACATTTTTAATTATTTTTTGCATGAAATATATTTATTTCAATTTTGTCCACCCGGCCTCGACTAGAGTATTACACTGGCTTAGTATAAAGTATGCTTTATCCCTATACCCTGGAAATCTTAATCATGCCAGGTTCAATATGCTTATTTCTAATTCTAGACTAATACTAAAACCTTTAGTACAATTGAAAAACATGCCAAAATATTTAAGCCCCCCCCCCCCCCCCCCTTGACAGTGTGAATTGACTTCACTATGTATCATATTACTAATGACTTGTTTTAAACAGTCATTTTTATAATGGCAAGGCAGTTTTTATAGTTTCGTGTCTTTTGTAAGTGATTTAGTTTACAAAACATAAACTTCCCAGTGCTGTTCCAACAGTCTGTAGTAAGTCGTGTGATACCAAATTGTTCAATAAACTGAAATAAACATTCAGAGAAACTGTAGTGAAATCTCCTCTTAAATATAAGATGAGGATTAAAAAAAAACTCCATAATTTTATGTTAAATAAACTTGTTTTTTGTAAAGAAATATCATGAGCCATTTTAATTCACTTTCTGGAACAAGTAAGGGTCAGTCAGAGTTTTCAATATTATAGGTATGACAAGACACAACAACTGTTATTAGGTAATATCGAGCTTGTAGGACCTCCATTAGTGTCCAAGATTATCATACACTGTAAAATTTAAAAACATTTTTTTCTTTTGAACCACAAAATCTAAAGTACAAAATGTTTGTTTGTTTTAGAATTTTCATGCAAAGTTACAAAAGGGCTATCTGTGCAAACTGTTCATGATTTTTAACTGATAAACTTCAGGAAAAGACAGCTAGACAACAATATCCACTATTAATTCTTCATTTCTCTTTCTGTATGAATAGTGGAATTTGACCATCAATTGTATACTACTGACATGGCCAAAAGTACATAACACACTTTGTTGGCATTAGGTTACGAACCATGAACTTAGTCATTCACAGTTTAGATACGCTAAGTACAACCATGCCCAGTGAAGTTCCAAATCAACATGGCCATAAATTCTAATAGGAGACATTTACATCACTGATAGTATGTAATGATAGTAGCTGTGTCTTGTCGTAGCTAAACTACAGAAAACTATTACTCTCTAATTGTTTTATTTATTTTAGAACTGTAAAATTGAGCTAAAGAAAGGACAGAAAAAAATATGTAGATTTCTTGTTTCTTTTAACTTGTAAGATTTACATCTTCATGAAAGCATGAAATATAATTTTTTTTAATATCTCTGATAAAAAATTGAATGTGATACATTTCCATACTGGTAAAGCAATTTACTCAAGCTATCACATTCCCCTCCCCCCACTGTTTTCAAAAACAAGGTTCATGACGTGTTTCAGAGTCATGGGATGCTCCACATTGGACATGAAGACGTCTTTGTGTTAATTCCATTTTTTACATTCTCTGGGGGCTGGGAATCAAACCCAAGACACTAGGCGAGTACTGTACCAACCAAGCAAAAGGATAACAACCTAGCAACTGTTATTAAGCCAGCTTTTGATTACTTAACGTAGTATTTAAAAATAAAATGTTACACACACACACACACACACACTGATGTTTGTTTTCACTGAATACATTTATTTCAATTTCATTAAATCCAAATTGTATCGGTTCACTCCACTTCTATTTTCAACTAGTTGTGCACCAAGAGTGATTTACCAGCTTACGTTTACATTAGTAGGCATCTAGAAAAAATCTGTTTCACTTAAAAGTGATTTATTTAAGAAAATTTAACTTAGTAGCTACAAGTGTTTAAGCATAAATACTTAAAAAGTTATATAATAATATAATATCTAAAGGTTTTATATCAGGTTGTGGCATTGACTTTTTTAAAACACCCTGACCAAAACAGGTTGTTTTTTTTTTGGGGGGGATATGGCAATGATGTTCTTTTATTCGGGGGGGGGGATATGGCAAATGATGTTCTTTTATTCGGGGGGGGGGATATGGCAAATGATGTTCTTTTATTCGGGGGGGGATATGGCAAATGATGTTCTTTTATTCGGGGGGGGATATGGCAAATGATGTTCTTTTATTCGTTTATGAACATCTTACTTTATTCACTGTAACTAGAGCAGATTGTAATAAAACCTCACAGGTCACTTTTTACTATTTATGTTGAAATAAAAGGTCAAGGTTGTATTTCAGAAATAGAAATTTGTTTTTCTACAAAACAAAATGCATAACGCACCATATTTATAAGTATTCCAAGTCAAACAAAAGACTAGTGATCAAGGGAATCAGCCATTTTACTGGTGGCTATTTTTAGGGACTGAAAAAACTGCAGAAATATATATTCAGCCACTTCATTCATGCTGTTGTAAAACTGTTCATAATAAACACATTTATAGAGTTACTAGATCATTAAACTATTTCTTCATACCACTTATACGTTATAGTATTGTGTAACGAAAAGAATATTGATTTATGATTAAAAAGTACGTAAGTAGATCAATACTACACCTAGATCCAGTAATAAGCGTAGCTAACTAAGTATACTGTTCAAACTAACTTATTTATAATGATTAGAATTCATTGTTTCACCAGTAGAGTACTATCGTTACTAACGACATTTTCGACCGTAAACCCAACAATACATCATTTACTCGCAGAGTTCTTCATTTTGTTGTACGACCGTTTTCTGGAAGAGTTTGAATCACAATGTACTTTAAATCATAATTGCAAGATGTACTGATAATAGTTGATGTGATGCAGGTGAAAATGCGACTAGATCAAGAGAGAGAAGATCAGATGTGTCGAATAATGGACGAGGTGATCGAAGAAGAGTCTTCTTCCGGAAGTTTTGACAAAAACTGAAGTTATTTTTTTTTCTCTGTCCTTAAAGTTTGTCTTTGTATATGCATAGTGAATAATATATCAGCACTATTTGTTTTATATTTTGAGCTACCGAAAATATCATTGTCATCAACAATGGAGATCATAGTGGTAAGTAAAATGGCGTAATAGAATAGAAAATCAAGACAGAACTAGAGGTAGAAGCTTGTTAACATTTATAACTATAGACTAGTGCCATCTATTAGAAGTAATATTTCAAATGAAATTAAATCAGTGGATTTTTATAGTTCATTTGATTTATCAAGACATGATAGTATTTAATCATGTTTCACTTGGTGTAATAACATTTCAACGACATTAATTTAATGAAAATATTTTGTTTTGCTTAAATATTCAAGTAAAGAAAAAGATAGAATACATTTAAAATCTAATAATGTTTGCTTGAAAAAGGGATAAATTATACAATTTAAACAGTTCACTAGTTTAATATTCGCTTATTAATATTTATTCCCAAATTTATTATTTAATATATATATATATATTGGAAAATCCCATTGTTGTATTTTACAGTAGATACTGTCTTAAAACTGCGTTGTTTCTGACATTCTAATAGCACTGCAATCGGCACTTTTGGAGGGACAATAAAACTGGCAAGTTTTATTTCTTTGACAAAACAAAACGTTCGAAGTAACGAATTTTTCAAATATGTATATTTGTTGGTTGATAATGAGATGTTGTATTTTAAGTCTCTTTATGTTACTTATTATGTATAACTTAATTCGTTTATATTCATTTAATTATTTTGTTTTAAACAATGGTTCATTGTTATTGGACAAATTAAAAACAAAGATCCAGCTGTTTTCGAAGCAACAGGATGTTATCGTTAGTTTTCCTTGAACTTTTAACGTAATGTGACGTATTTTGGTTTATAGGTATCACGCCAGGTGATAGGTTATGTTAAACAATTTTTAGTGGAATTTTAAAATCGGTTATAAACGATTAGGTGGAGCTATCGATCCTATTAGTAACGTTATATTTTAATTAAAATTGAAAAACCATTCTTGAAATATTAAAAAGATAAACGAATTATTGTAGTTTAAACTTCTAAAAGTTCAAAGGCAGATAATATTTAATTGTTTGACCTGGGCGACCTCTACAAAAAAAATAATGCTATGTGTTTAACATTTGCAACATCACAAATATTAGAAATTGTGATCTAGGTGTTATTTTCAACGAAAACCATTCTCAATATAGATAATTGACTCCATATTGAATTACCTATTTTAAAGTGTAGAATATTTATTTGATTACAAGATGTATTATCGAAAAATATTAGGTAACAAACATTGAAATAGTCTTCACGCGCGATAGTTTAACATTCCCTCCGCATCACCAGCTAAATTCTGTTTATATCAAAACGCTAGCTATTGCTTGAATTGAGTTCTTCTGTTTAGAACAAATACCAAACTAGTTTCAAATCGTTTAATTCATTAACTTACGAGACCAACTATCTGACGTCTGAAGGTATTATATTTGCACAAGTCGCATTGCCATTGGTTTCTAAAACAACTGGTTATACATATTTATCGTGCATTTTTTATTCTTTTTTTCTTTGAATTTAAAGTACAAAAAAAACAAACTCTTTTGTGGCCTTCTAGCACATAATTGAACTCTGACCTCAATAAACTTAATTTTCGTCTCAGATTTTCACAAATTGAACAGCTATTGTACGTTACTATTAGGTAAGATTTTTCAAGAACCTTCTAATTAATATAGCTTTTCATATAATAAACGTGTGAAAGATAACTTTTGAGTTACGCTTTGCAATGTTTAGTGCCAAACGCTAATGCTTATTGGGATATTTTTCTAACTTGACGGTTATGTCAGGCAGTGAAGCCTTTGCAAAGAGCGTTCATCCGTAGAGTTAGGATAAATAAAAATAACGACGAAAAGATCTGTATGCGAAAAACATTTTAGTTTTTCTGTAGCTTGTGCTAAACCGTAACTACACAACTTACCTTTATCTACTTTTCTTACAGCATATTGTATATATCAACTTAATACAGCCAAGATTAAAATTCAAAGGGCGTGGTATCGAAAGTTGACGTTGAAATTAAGCTAGCGTTTGAAATAACAATATGAGCATCAGTCAACAATTAGTGAATGGTTAGGAGGGCAACAATTTATCTGTGCCCGATATCATCATCCAGTAATACTTTTACTCTACCCACCTTTTCTGTTCCCAGTTTTACTAAAATCTAATTAGCGCTGTCACACTAATATTTACACCTAGGCCCAAGAATTTAGGATAAATATAAAGTTTAATATTTCATTAAAGAATTTGGTCTTATTTTAATAAGACATTTTTTTTTGCAGCACAGTGAAAAACACCGATTTATTTAGGCGTAATTTGCAAACAACGTCGGAAATCTCGCTCGATTTCTAGGTAGATGTTATGCTGAAGTTAAGCTAGACTTTTCCAGCTCCTTTAACTATTATTTCAGCACTATTACTGTTCCTTTCATGCAACGAGACTCTGTAGCTCTTTATGTGCGAGTAACTGAAATCTTACACCATAAGTTATGTTCACATACATTTTACGGGTTTGATTAAGTTGTTTATAACTAGGTCTAAATGAGTCATTGTGTTTTCAGTGTTTTCTTTCGTTTGCAAAGTTCTGCTGTGATGTATGAAGGCATGGTAACGGCTTTGACAGTCGGGCAACATTTATGCGATTTGTTGACTGCTTTTCAAAGCAACCTGTAAAATGTTTCATACCACGTGATCTGCCTTAGGCCAATCACGGCAAAAAGGTCATTCTAGGGATAAATAATATTAATCGTTGGAGTAGAAGCGTAAAATTAGGTATGCTGAATATGCAATATTTTAAAGTAAAATTGTAGGAAATTAGTAACAATCCACGACTACACACAATAAAAAAATAATAATTTTGCTATTAATATAAATAAAATAACTTTTATCTCCTGAACTTATCTTTACTTGCTCAATATTTCGCTATTACATTAGATATCGATAAGATACAAGTTCGCCAATAGCTCGTATTTTGTTATTTATTACAAAGACATTTCTATTAATGTAAAGTCCAGTTTGCGTTTTTAAAAAAGTTAACAATAATGTTTAGTTTTAAATGAGGGAATCTTTAAGAAGTTCTTACATTGTTCGTACAATTATATGTACATCTTATCACAGTACGTATAAAGTTGTTATACAAGTCAAAAACACACGAGCACATTAACTGTCGTATTATACGAATCTATAAATATGCAAACATCACAGTATACATATACTGAGAATGGATGCCAAACACATGTAGAATACTTGCTGTTTAGAGGGATTGTAATCCTCATTTAGTTTTCGTTCATTCATTCTCACCCCAAATATAATGACGTCTTCAATTCAAAGCTTTGTGCGACTAAAGTGTGGTGTTAAAAGTTAGTATAATTGTCATTTCCGACGTTGGCCTTGTGCTTGTTTGTGAGGTCACAGAACTACATTTTATATATATTATTTGTGTATGTACATACACACTATGTGTAGTGTAGCTCTGAGCACGAGGCGAGGGTTCGTTCAGTTTCGCCGATACATTTGATCGTATATTTACGCTTCCACAATACGCTTTCTGCCATGCGCATAGGCAGGAGGACTGGTGGGACTGTTTGCGAACGCCCCTCTAAATTGTACCGATATACGTATAAAACATTTAAATTGTGTAAAAACAGCCTCGGATAACATCAGAATGCACCATAACATAGATTTCTGCCTACGCCCCAACCTGTGTCAGAAGTAGAGAGCACAGATCGAAGAGTCTCGAACTGAGGTCAGAGACACGCGCTTCATTCACAGTTTTGTCGCGAGCCAAAATTAAGCTAATAGCTGGTATTAAATGACTTTTTTTTTCTACTTATTATCCATGACTGCTTAACGTTGTTGGAAAGTGGGGCGAGGGGTCAAAAAAGCCAAGTCATTCTGACATAGTTATTAATAACAGTGTATGAACATTGACTGAAAAAGTGGGAAGGCACGTACCCATTCTGCTCCATGTTTCAGGCGACTATGCTACTCTGTAAATAGAATATTATGTTATCTCTTTCAGGACGTTTAATCGTTTATAAAATTATTGATTGTCACTCAAAAAAGCTCACGTTTTACAACATGACAGTAAAAGATAAACTTTTTGAAGGTCGGTAGTGTCATCACGATATGCGGTAGCTTCCATGTCGCACATTTCCAAGGCCAAAGGTATGAAAAATGTTTACGAAACGAAAGGTGCAAAGCTTGAGAACAATTTTTTGAGTTATTACTCACATCTTCACTAGTAAATCGAGATAACTTATTTATTTAGCTGACAAGATTTTAGGTATAGTTATATTCTGTAAATAGTGTTTCTAAGGTATTCTTTACACCATTTTTTATCTTATAATATGCAAAGGCCCAGAGAACACGTTGCAAGACAGGTACCAGTCAGTTCCCAACAGTATTACTATAACGTTACTGTTTGCGAAATCGGTTCAGATTTGGTTTTCTTTACCTCTGGCCTGTCTTTAAAGACAAGTCAAAAACTCATTCTACGTTGAACACAAGCATAGCCCGAGAGTTCCGATGAAAGCGGGGAAGCCTCTATCAATGTTTCTCAGCAGAAATTGGTTTAAAAAACAACAACAAATTTCCAGGGGTGGGGTGGGGAAGTAATGTGAAATTGTGAAGTGAATAATAAAATTCACATACATACGCTGAATGAATGAAAGAATTACGTTTCTCATTTTTTCCAGGCGAGCAAGAGCCCCCTTGCTCCCCCCTCCCTCGCAAACTCCCTTGACTGTTATCATATTTTTTGAAATATCCGTTTAACTTTTGAAACAAGTTGTAAAACAATGTTGGCGATATGTAGTAGCATAACAAAATGTTAAGGAAAACTTGGATTAGGCACAACTGACCTTTTCTGGTTTGATGTTAAAAAGTATTATATTATATATATTATGGTATTTTTTTCTCTGTCTCGTAATGTGTAGGGGCTTTAGTTTGAAATTAATTTCGACTAGAAAAATATTAGAAACCCAAAACAGTAACTGCTTGTTTTTATTTGCTGTAGACTGAAATGGTGAGGAAAAAAAAAACTATAAATTTTGGGTAAAGGACTGATCCATTGATGATATGTCCAATTCACATTCCCGGGGCGCGGGGCCACTTTTAGGTTAATTTACATAACAATGATAATATGAAGTTCATATTGTGGAAAAACCCTTGGTAAAATAATTGCACAAATAATATAGATACAGCGGCGATTTTAGATAAAGTAACTTTGAGAAATGATTGCAGACCTTAGGAGTAGTAGTTGCGTATGGTGTTTCTCACACCTCCAAATTCGTTTGGAGGTGTGTATCCGGGAGTAGGACTGGCGTCCTAGTCCGGACACCGGGTTTGGATCACTCTCCTTCTGCCGGTCCAGCATGATTGAATCTTAGCTCTGGCTTCGCCTTCAGGGTCATTGGGGTACTTCAGCCACGAGACGACAGCAACGTGGTGATCCGACGCGATGTAGTAAAGATAATGCAATACTGTTAACTCTACGCCATAAAGAATTCTAGGCCTAACAGTGATTAACAATTTGCAGGTTGTTTTTCGCATAGAAACAAGTCTGCGTTGTCCATAAATCAGATGAGCCATTTTATAGTTTATATTTGTTATTGCATTTATTAATATTGATTTTAAAGATACTGTATACATCTTGCAAGGCATTTATACTAAATTATAATTTACTTTTGTTGAATAGTCAAAGAGTTGTATAAATAAAGTCGAATAGTGACTTGTTATCATATTTGGTATTATATGATGGGTTAAATATTATAAAGGCACTTTGTGTCTATTGTTTTATTACGTTATTAATAAATAGTGTGTTAATTACCAGTGACCGTTGACAAAAATTCTAGTGTTATGTGTGTGTTATTGTATGAAGTGTTATAAAATGATGGCATAAAGGTGTGTTCCGAAAGTGACACTTGACTGTAATTCGAAACACCTGGAAAGTTCTTATCATATAATACTCATAATCAATATTATATTAAGATTTTGTCAGTATATAAGGTTTATGGAAGAGTCGGCTGTTAAATGTTCTGAATCATTTAGATATTGGACGAAGTGACATCAGATGACGTCTTGGCTGGTTAGCCCTAAAATTTTTTTGTTGATGCTGTTTTGTTTTTTGTTTTTTCCAAAGAACAAGCTTCATAATGTTTTATCATCTTTAAAACAACAAAAGTGATTTCTGTACTGTATATAGTAACTATGAATGAAACAAGCCTTTTAAATCATATAAGAAATGCTTTATATAAAAAACAACAACTAGTATTTAAATTAAAATTGTTCAATCAACAGTATACAATAGTAATACGTAGAAGAGTGGTAACTGCTTACTTAGAAAAGAAGAATACTAAACAACGTTTTCACGTCTTCCGAACTTGTTAATTCAGCAACGAAAAGTAGAAATTCAATCTACCAATCCTAAGAGTTGGGCCAAGTGCAGCAAGTGATTTATCTTTCGAAACTGGAAGCAAGATGAAAGAGGAAAATTATAAAGAAAAGAAAAAAAAATGGCGGACGAATTCTTCAATTTTTAGCACAACACTTCTTAATGCATTATACGTACTTACATTTAAAAAAAAATGTTTTGTAATACACAGAAAATTAATTTTATTAAGTTCTTTGGGCCCAGATCCTGTAATCGGTCCCCCCAAAAGAATTGAATTTATTTTTCTTCGATGAAATTGATAACGAAGATTTTTCTTCAAGCAAATAACTTTACCTGATCCATTAGGCTTAAGACTGTTTTTGTGTATAAATTATACAACTTTTTTGCTTGAATTTTAAATAAATTTTGTTGATTACAAAAAAAAAGTCGTAGTATTCACGTTTTTGTTTATGTATCTTACAATATTTGAACAACAGATAATTTTTTTTTCTTCGTTTGTGTCTCTCTCAGTTCTCTCAACTCCCGATTCTTCCTTTAGAAATATATCTAAAAAGTCCATCAAAGCCATTACCACACAAGGCAGGTGGATGGATAACTTTGTTTTATTATTTCTTGTTACCATTGCCAAAAATATAATAATATTAGATATGGAAGTTTGTTAGAAAATACACAATAGGCTATCTGTGGTGACATAACGTAGTGAATCGTTAGAAGCCCTCAAACTTAAGGGTGAGCCACCAGGGGAATTGCAGTTTATATTATCTTAACTTGTAGTTACTACCCAGGGTTGTGTATAGGAGGTATTAATGGGGGAGTAGTTGCCCCTCACTCTTTCTCTGGGATAAAAATATAAACACGATAGTTACGATTTTTCACTTTTTGCCGCCACCCCTCAAATTTTGGTCGTAAATTCCACCCATGGTGTTATAAAAGTAAGCTGAAACCTCAGAGTATTCCCTAAAACTTCTACTCAGTCCATGGTCTGGTGGTTATGGCTCTTGTCTCGCAATCTGAGGGTCACGGGTTTGAACCCGTCACCGAACAGATAACCCTCGTGTAGTTTTGCGCAAAACAAAACAAAAACTACTCAATCCAACCTACCGTAAAAATCATTGAGTTTAAAAAACACTCAAAACAAAATATAATTGTTTCTCTTCTGAGGATTGAATTGTTAAATAGAAATGTAAATATAATCACAAAATATTGCCAACACACGTGACGGTGTCATATAGATTTACCACCCATCCCCACCGTAAAAATAGTAGTATAACCTGACAATCAAGTAGCAATTTTACACTTTTATTTTGTGTGCTCTGAAGCTGCAGTAAATCCAATGAAACTAGGCCACAATCATTGCTTGTTTAAAATTTAAACACCTAAGACTGGTGAGGACCTCCGTAAGAAGCTCAAGTAATGTTGCGGGTGTCAACAAATTGTGAAATTAATAATTTGGCTTTTGATGTTTCGGTAAGTGAAATCTTATATTCGTAATCTATGCCAAAATATCAAACATTTTTAATTCCTTTCTAAACTCTCGTTCTTAATAATTTTGTAGAAAAATTATATATAATCACTTTGGCAACAAAATAGTTAAGCTAGGACTCAAGATACAACGAACGAGGTTTAAAAAAAGAAAAGGAAAATTCATTTAATAATATCACCACAATGCACAGCGTTTATTATAATTATAACACTGCCTATCACACACACGAGATTCTGATAATACGCTTCAGATAGATCCAGGAGGGAGGGGCGTAACTATAATATTGATTGCTACACTGAAACTGTATCAGTTTGGTTTGAATTTTGCGCAAAGCTACACGAGGGCTATCTGCACTATCTGTCCCTAATTTAGCAGTGATAGACTAGAGGGAAGGCAGCTAGTCAACACCGCCAACTCTTGGACTACTCTCGTAACAACGAATAGTGGGATTGACCGTAACATTATAACGCTCCCACGGCTGAAATGGCGAGCATGTTCGCTGTGACAGGGATTCGAACCCGCAGATTACGAGTCGAGCACCCTAACCGCCACGTCTAGTTGAGTCAAACTATTATAAATCTCACTTTACACCAGGAAAAGTTATTGTAATAGGGGAAAAAGAATGGTATCTAAAGTTTGATTTGTTTCTTAACGCAGGATTTTATGAAATTCTAAAGTCAAGATACAGCGAGAGAAAGTAACAAGTTCTGCAAAAAAAGTAAGAAACATTTCCAAACACAACTACAGAAATATTAACTTGTGATATAGAGAACAAGTTTTGTGTGTGTGTGTTGTTGTTGTTGATAAATGCAACCCTTTCTTGAACAGGTAAAAACTTCGCGCACAAAACCTACCGACTGACCAATGGCTGCTATAACTTCTCACTCAGAAACTGATTAGTACCTGGTAAGAATTCGCTCTCAAAATCTTTCGACTGACCAATGGCTGCTATAACTTCTCACTCAGAAACTGATTAGTACCTGGTAAGAATTCGCTCTCAAAATCTTTCGACTGACCAATGGCTGCTATAACTTCTCACTCAGAAACTGATTAGTACCTGGTAAGAATTCGCGCTCAAAATCTTTCGACTGATCAGTGGGTGGTAAAACTTACTTCTAAAATTCAGAACGATTTTTCGCGGACATTGTTCGATTTTTACCGAAGATTGGGCACGATCTGTCAAAGTAACATTCACGTATTCTATGCAAGTTACTCTGTTAAGCACGTACCATTTTAAAGTTTTTAGTGTGAAATGTTACATTTATATGGTCCCCCAGTGGCACAGCGGTATGTCTGCAGACTTACGACGCTAGAAACCGGGTTTCGATACCCGTGGTGGACAGAGCACGGATAGCCCATTGTGTAGCTTAGTGCTTAACTAAAAAAATAACAAATTACATTTATATGTATCTAGATAAGAGTAAGTTTGTAATCTACTGATATCCGTGTCGAATAGTTGGTACTTTTCGTTTCTACAACACGTTACTACTCTCGAGTAATAAAAGAAAAATATAGAGAAATAATTTTGAAAAACAAGAGGGAATCCTCAATAGCCGCGACACTTGAAATTCTTCTAAGCGGGATTAGAGTAAATTAATGTACGAGATCTTTCTTTTCCTTTATATTAGCTATACCAAGCGTGGGGCGCGAGTATACCAGATTTGATTTTATTACTCATTAGGATCTCTCCCAGCCTACCCTCATATATTTAAGTTATTTTAGGCAGGATTAAAATAAATTGATCTATAAAACCAATCGAAAGGGTATGATCTCCTAAGTCCAAAACTGTAATTAGATCTCAAATCGGTCAAGAGATGAAGGAACTATGAACTAAAATTTGTACTTGAAAAAAACAACAACAAAAAACAGTCATTATATGAGCCGCTCAGACGCAGATAAAAATTAGCTTTATTTTTTATTTGTATGTAGAATTTCATGTCAAGTTACGTGAGGGCTATCTGCTCTAACTGTTCCCAATTTTGAAGTAATGACCTAGAGGGAAGGCAGCTAGTCAACACCACCCACCGTCAACTATTACCAACGAATAGTGAGATTGACCGTCACTTTATAACGCTCACAGAGCTGAAAGAGCGAGCATGTTCGACGACAGGATTCAAAGAACTAAGCGAGCGAAGACCCTTGAATGTGACCATAGTAGAGTAATTCTTTTTCTGTTTTTTTAAATTCTGTCTCCCTAGAGCAGGATTTGAACCCGGGATCGCTTGCCTGTAAAAGTGAGCGGTTTACAACTAAGCTAAGAAATTAATTTACTACAAGAGAATAAACGAGTTAATTATCTATTCATAAACATACCGTTACTCTGTTTGTTATCAACGGTAATATATAAAACAATGTTTTCGATAAATCATTATATATGTATAACTGTTTATGGAACCTGAGGATTGGAATATAAGTTGCAAAGGTACGAAACCAGTACCATAAACATATATATGCAACAATCAATAAAGGTACGAAACCAGTACCATAAACATATATATATATGCAACAATCAATAAAGGTACGAAAACAGTACCATAAATATATATATATATATATGCAACAATCAATAAAGGTACGAAACCAGTACCATAAACATACATATGCAACAAACAATTTATTACTACTAAAACTGGCTTAACAGTTAATGTAGCATATGGATGTTACCTTTTTTTTTCCTCCTTAAATTTAGTTCTATTTTATTGTAGCTGTTTCAAGTTAAGCACAAAGCTACACAATGGGCTATCTGTGCTGTGCCCTCCACGGCTATCGAAACCCGTTTTCTAGCGTTGTAAATCCGCAGACATACCGCTGTGCCACTGGAGGGGCTTTTTATCGTAGCATTCACATAAGTAACAAGTCATGACTGGACTTCTTTTTCAAGTGTTTCTATTCCGATAATCATTGGTATTGTGACACTCGGGGACTTAAACGAATACGCTTAAGTTCGCTCACAAGACTCATCCCGAGTTCGGCTCAGTAGTTACCGTGTCGGGCTGTGGATCCGAGGTTCTGTACTTCTTCGCGCTCTGCACTTTGGGGCCGTGGAAACGTTATATAAGACTGTCGGTAAAATCCCTCTAATCGATTAAAAAAGGCCACGACTTGGCGGATGGTGAGGTTGATTAGCTGCCTTCCCTCTAGTCTATCTGTTCAAAATTAAGGACGAATAGCGTGTACACCCCTCGAGTAGCTTTGCGCGAAAGTAAACAACAACGGGCAGGATGCGTTTGTCTCTGTGACAGTACAATAGTTATTACGGCGATAACTGTCCATTTCTTGCGGGACAAATATTTCAGCTTCTGTAGACAATCCGAATGTTACGTCCATCTTTCTTGACGTTAGACGTCTTGTTTTCTCAACCAGTAGGCCTAAATCTTATAGCCAAGCCTGGGAGTTCCACCAGAAGTTAGGTTCTTTAAACGGAGAAATAGGTTTTGGGCTCTGTATCAATTACTTTAGTTTCCAACCTTCGCACGTTGCATTCTGAAACCTGTGTCGTTACATTTATCTTTGTCGTTTAAATAACCCTAATCACTCCGCAAATCGGTTAGCAGAAATAAAATCAAACAAGAAAGACCGACTTGTACGATTATACAAAATACAGTCCGAAATCCAAGATGAAAGGAAAAAAACTTCAGATGATAAGAAACAAAGAACACCGTCCGAACTATTAACGTCTTTTTCGCTTTCGAAATTCCAACCCGTGTTAGATTAATTTTCTCTCATTAATGATACCTAACATTGTGGTCTGAGTAACTTCTGGGTCTCTGACAGTTTATTTTATATGTTTAAAAAAGTACGTCACAGCTAGCTACCTTCACCCATTTCTAAAATTTCGTCTGTAAAAAAAAAAAGAAGTATTTATATTATCAATCTAAGTAGCAACTTGCGCGACACGAGCTAAGCGGCGATAAAAATAACATTTGTACAACTTCAATTCAAAATATTTTTTCCCACAAGAATTATACACAAAATAATACATAAATGTAACACACTTATTTTAGATCTGATTACAAGCCGACGAAGTTGATTACTATTTTGTTAAACGTCGTCTTAGTGTACGAACCGATTTTCATATATATATATATATATTTTTTTTACTAAGATCTAACATTTTAATTTATTAGGTGGCGCTAAGCGCTTACTCTTACTCTTAAATAATCAGCATGTTTCAACTAACGCAAGACAATTGTTGAAGCATAACCAAACAACTGGATGGATTGGGTTTTGATAAATCCTTCGTTTAATTTCCGCCAGCAAATCGCCTTCAGCAAGAAAGTGAGGTCTATCTGTCTAGCCGGAATAACGGATAAACTATTCGGCCAGCAAACGTCTGGAATTCGTCAACCAAAAACTAGGCTTAAAGTTTAAGAGGTTTACAGAAAATTGTCCCATCTAGTGAGGTATAGTATCTCCATATACGCCTGTTGTACTTGTTTGCTTCAGTGCATTAAAAATCAAGTTAGAAGTTAAAGATTATTTGTAATAGGACTTTTTAAAAGTAGAAGATATCCAAACGTGTCAACGATCTCATCTGCAATGAACAATATAAGAATATAGAAACGTGTTATATCCGATGTAATATATTTCAGACATTGAATTATGAGCGTCCACAGAAATTTTTCCGGGGGGGGGGGAGTAGTGTGAAACTGTCAAGTGAATAAAAAAATTCGTATACATATCCTGAATGAATAAAGAAAGAATTATGTTTCTCATTTTTCCAGCGGAGTAAGTGCCCCATCTACCCATGCATTTAATCAAAAACATTTAAGGTTTTGTTATTGATTTTTTCGTGAAATACATAAAAATAATTAGCGTCCATGTAAAATTTTACTACATAATTTTACTACAGGATAAGGTCACACACTATTACAGGATAAGGTCACACACAAAATTTTACTACAGGATAAGGACCTCACTATTTATCTACAGGATAAGGTCACACACATACCTGTCTCACTATAAGCAATTTACAATATTGTGCATGTTCTAAGGCAACTACAAGTATAAAGGTTTAGCCTCACCATGTCAGCACAGCCCTTGTCGCCGCGACCGGTCATACCACTTGACGGCCTTGCACCTTGAAAACAGTCTTGCAATGTTGTTGCCACTGTAAAAGGTTCCGTCGTATGGTTTTCATGTCTAAAGCATACCCTTACACCATATATGCTTTCCATAAGTTATTAGTGTACAACAGTTTTCCAGTATAGAAATCCATAATGTTGCATCCAGCGACTTAACTGGTATGTATGTGTTCAAATGGAATAGCATGGATACCCATTTCATTCGCCAGCTGTTTGAACCATGCGACAATTTAACAGTATGGAAGTGTACATGTGAATGGTATAACTTTTTCAGATGGAGAGCCTTGTACATTATGTTGCTTGGGGTCACGTGGATAGCTTTTACCACTGATATTTGTCTGTATTCTTAGATTCTCACCTGTTACGAAAAGCCACAAGCCACACTTTGCTTATCATATCTAGGGTGGACTTGTTGCAAGTCTGTTTTTGGATGGTTCTGGTCCCCATGTTCATCCATATTCCTTTGTTTTTCCACTGTCATTAAGTACAAGGGGTATCCTAGTCTTAGAAATTCTAAATCCTGATCTGAACACATATTTACGATACGAGTGTATGAATATTTTGAATCGGAAAGAACTGTTAAATACCCTTCCCAAACACAATGAATTTTTGGACATCACACTACTTATGAAACATCAAACAATATCAAAATGTAGTTCTGATACATTCCGTTCCACCGCGACTTTATATAGCTGTGGTTGTCACGCACGTGACTTCCATATTCAAAGTCGTTGTAATATATCATGCTCAACCCCCCCCTCCCTTCTCTCTCTCTCTCTATATATATATATATAGATAGATAGATAGATAGATAACAGTGTTGTCTGTCTGGTGTCCCAGATGTCAGGAAATGGCTGGATTAATTTGATGACCTTTGTTTAAATGAGTGTTAAATAATACGAGCGGTCATTTCAATCTTATTGGCTTAATATTTCAAGTGTGTGAGGCGGTCAGTAACAAAATTCGTGAAGCCGACGCCAGACAAAAGACGAATTGCGGATAACTTTGTATCGTACTAATGGTTCATGTGCTACAGTTTAGCACTACCGAGTATATTTACTAGACTATAAATATAATGCAACATTACAACAATATTCACAATTAAAATAAGATAACATTGAATGTATGTAATATATATATATATATTTATACTAGAAATTTGATATTAGACATATGTTACAGTTTAGAACCATAATAACAATTACACTAACTGACCGTCTCAATGTTCTTAGTTTCATAATAAAAAAAAACACCAACATCAAACGCACGTGAGTTGATCACTCTTATAAAATGGTGTATCATTGTTTAAACATTCAGAACCTTGTAGGAAAACAAGTTGTTAACTATCAGATGTATTCTACATCTATACAAACAGCCCCTGTATTAAAAATGATATATAAAGTTTCTTGCGAAGTCATCTAGACTGTGTTTTATAATTTTATCACTAGGACATCCTTCGTTGCTGTTCTCTGAGAGTGCTACGTTTAAAGATATTTGCCAAGTCCTACAAACACGAACAAAACCAGCGAAACGATTTTTTGTTCTTTTTTAGAATGAACTATAAGAAACTTCAAGTCGTGGTCTGTTCCGAAGATTTAGCGTTGCCGACCTGTCACCTGAAGGCTCTCAAAGCCACCTCTCCAAATCCAATTAGAGAACGGCAGAAAAAGCACACCAGAGAAACTAATCCACAGGAAACGGCGAGAGTTAAGAGTCCGGACGTAGGTAGTTTATCCTCCTGGTCAAGATTTACTTTCGATGCTGTAGCGACCGCGATGGGCTGACGAGCCGATCTCACCGACAACTTCGGGCACGAGGAAATTTCTGACACCTGTCCGTTCTCACAGCGTTCCTCCTATGTTCAAACTATCACGTCAAGTGCTTCAGTGGCTTTAAAAATCCTCGAAGACACCGCGGATCTTCCAATACATTGGGACAGCTCTGACTAGACACATCTCTTGTAAGAAAGTAGAGAACAACGGCTAGTTACTGGACAGTCGTGACATTGGCGTTCTGATTTCATTTGTCCTCGACTTACAAGCTCAGTATTGTATTATTTACCTTACAGAAGTGTATTACTCCGACACAATAATGATCTCTCGAGGTAAGTGCGTAACACCTTTTGTTAACGTTCATAATATTATTAAAAGTGATTAATCTATAAATCGTACCTGTATCTCAAGTAAAAAAATATGAACTTCTTCTGGCCAATTTCAAGATTTTAAACGCCACCTATAAAAAAAAAAATATTACCCTAGATGTGATTAATAAAGTAGTTCTTGATAGAGGTTTTTCGTGCCTGTTTATAATTGTATGTACGTACGTAAAAGGAACTTCATGACAAAGTAACAAGTAAAGATAAGCTTCAGTCAAGCTTAATTTCCTCATTATTTACCATAATACAAAATCCACGTTTAATTTCCTCATTATTTACCATAATACAAAAATCCACATTTAATTTCCTCATTATTTACCATAATACAAAAATCCACATTTAATTTCCTCATTATTTACCATAATACGTAAAAGGAACTTCATGACAAAGTAACAAGTAAAGATAAGCTTCAGTCAATCGTATTTTGTCTTTTAAGTTCATCTAAAGAGATTATCAGCGATCAGGACATAATTTGCACAACCAAATTCTTATTGTTCGTTGTATACACAAGAAAGTACAATTTAAGCAACCATTAAAATATAACGCACCGAAGATGTAATTTATATATACGTACATATTCTACAGTGTAGACAGTCGTAAAATACACGTGCTGTGTGTGTGTGTTTGTCATATATATACCTTGTGGACTGTACGTTTGTTAATGAACATCCACAATATTATAGTATTTCGAAGTATACGTGCTTTATTGGTTGCTTTATTTACTGTCAAACTCAAGCCACGATCTTCGCGGTTTTCTTTTTCATCTAGCCTGCGTCATTATAACTTGGGACAGCAAGAATGATGCCAATTTGAAACTATTAGATTTATTTTTAAACAGCAGGTCTTTAATGCAAAATATCACATAACGCAAACAAATGCAGCTACAGGAAGAAAACAAAATTATTTAAATAACTCGGAAATATGTTCTTTATCGCTCTCAAAGTGAACATTATCATTCAGTCAGCTTGGTTACAACACTAGTAGGATCGACGTACACGTTATCTGTGAAAAAAAGTGTCAGAAATAGTATTCAGTTATATTTAGGATCGAAAAAAATCATTTTTTGACACGCATTTCAGGTCAATGGGGTCAACAAAACGGCGAACGTTTACATTTTGTCCAGAGGGTGGTTTTTGATTAAGAAAAACTTAACTTCATGTATTATATAACATGTAACGATAATAAAACACATTAAAACACTTCTTAAATAATCGAAATCCACTCCTTACATCGTAATCACTGTTTCTTCGTTATGCTCTCATAGGTTTCTTGACCTTTAACCCCCGTAGTTAAATCTATCATCAACTTGTATTGCTAAATAAAATAAAATAAAGTTCTAACACTAAAAAATATGGATTTTGTATTATGGTAGATAATGAGGAAATTAAACGTGGATTTTTGTATTATGGTAGATAATGAGGAAATTAAATGTGGATTTTGTATTATGGTAAATAATGAGGAAATTAAACGTGGATTTTTGTATTATGGTAGATAATGAGGAAATTAAATGTGGATTTTTCATTATGGTAGATAATGAGGACATTAAATATGGATTTTGCATTATGGTAAATATTTAAATAGAATGAATCTACATGAATTCCTATAGTTGTTTAGTGTATTCAAACATGTTAAAATAACTTTTTTATAACAATCTTCTTTGCATATGCAAAAATATTTTGTGCGTATGTCTATATATGTAATATTTTTTTGTAGTCTTCTCTCTGTTTACCCCACTGATTTCACATTGGAATGTCTAATGAAATGACGATGAGGTACGAACTGTGTCAATGATTTTCCAAGTTCTTTTCCTTTCATAGGAGCTAAGAAAAAAAAATTGAGGAGCATGCCCAGGTCGTTAGGGCGCTCGACTCGCAATCTGAGGGTCGCGGGTTCGAATACCCGTCATACCAAACATGCTCGCCCTTTCAGCCGTGGGGGCGTTATAATGTAATGGTCAATCCCACTATTCGTTGGTAAAAAGAGTAGCCCAAGAGTTGGCGGTGGGTAGTGATGAGTAGCTGCCTTCCCTCTAGTCTTACACTGTTAAATTAGGGACGGCTAGTGCAGATAGCCCTCGTGTAGCTTTGCGCTAAATTCAAAACAAACAAACAATAAAATCTGAGTTTATTTCGAATTGACATCTCCATCCAGTTATACAGCTGTTTGGAAATAATGTCGAATCCTTAAAGCGATTTTTGTAAAAAAAAACAAAACTTTTTAATATTAAAATCAAAGCATTTTCTTTGTGGATTTTTACAAATTTCCGCAACCTTTACGCGGGTAAAGTTTCCAAAATGAAACTTTCTAGTACATTTTTAAATGGCCTCCTTACCACATGGTAATCAGCTATACTGTTCATAGGAACTTATTGTTACATGATCGTAAATGAACAATACTAATGGAGTTCTGTAACAATACAAAAGTCTCTTATCTTCACGCACTATTTTCTTTTCTCACGCGGAATTCCGCAGAGAATTCGAAATAACTTTTGTACGTACCTTTTACCCAAAAATATTTCTGTGTTTCTAGAGTTCATTGGTTAGGGACTGCAATTTTTTTTTTTTTTTTACAGTAACCGATTGGTTTGTCGTTTACCCACATTTCATTATCTATACAGTTTACTATGGTAATATATTGTTACGTCTCTGGTCGCTGGTTAATTTATGTGTTAAATTATGTGTGGTTTTATAAAAAATGTCAACTTACCAACAAGTTCGGGTTTAGTATGCAATAGCCCCCCCCCCCAACCACCAGTGACACTGCAGTAAATCTGTAAACTTAAGGTAAAATCCGGGTTTCGATACCTGTGGTTGGAACAGCACGAGTAGCTTTTTGTGCTTAAGTGCAAACAAAATAAATCTTATGCAATAAGTTGTGAAATATTAACGTGTGTGTGTGTGTGCGTGTGTATTCTTGGACCCATGTTAACATTATAAACCATTTTAATAACGAAATGTTGGGGGGGGGGAGAATAAGGCATATTATCAACAGGCTACATTCCCTCCACAACTGTAGAATGGAAACAACAAAAATATTATATCAGTTTGTAAATGTAACCACTGTAGTACATATAACTCAATTTGCTACGAAATATTAGCAGTTATAACAGTGACTACAAGCTACGAGGTTAAACTAGCTTTGGACCAGCGTTGCTCACGCAAGTTCGTAGGCTTAGTTAATTCATCAGTGTTTAAGCAAACAAATTATATTAAAACAAAGAATTTAATAGGAACAACTGACAAAAAAATCGCGCAGTTGCATGCATAACAAAAACATTAACATCTGTTACCTCATAAGAACTATTTTTCATGTAATTTTTTAATGAGATAACAGCTAAATAATCCGTCAAAATATTAAATCATATAATATCTTGGTATGTTCAATTAGCTTTAGGATTTTACTATTTCATTTTCTTACTATTTGAATAGTATAAATATTTACTATTTTCCTCTTTTCTTGCTATTTAAATAGGTCATAGCAGTATAAATCAGCTAGGAGGAATTTTTGCCAATGGAAAACCACTTCCCTTCCATATTCGTCTTCGAATACTGGAGCTAGCACTGTTTGGTTATAGACCATGCGACATCTCGCGGCAACTTTTGGTATCTCACGGTTGCGTTAGTAAGATACTTGCTCGGTTTACTGAGACGGGATCTATTCTACCCGGTGCTATTGGTGAGTTGAGTATCTTAAAAAAAACTAGCAAGTTAATTTCTTTGTAGAAAATTAAGTCAAAGCTGCTTTAAGTTACATTTTAAAAAGGGGTGACGACTTTTGTGTAATAAATATTAAAGTTATTCTAAATTAACACTGTAAAAGTCTATCTGTATTGTAACTTCTTTCTCAAGTTGAAGATTCATCCTTCTTTGCATTTCCTATCAATGATTTGTCAAACAGATTTTACGTGAAAATGGACAGATACAAACAGTCGTAAATCATGACGTCTTAAATAACGTTTCTGAAACTTGTTATGAAAATTATTTAACTTCTTTTGTGGGCACGAGTAACATTACTTTTGATGGATACATTATCAACATCTGGGACAAATGTAAATAAAGGACAACTTACGTTGTTATGTCTTTTTTTTTTAAATACTTGTGTTTCACACTATTGGGTGCCACACACGTATTTACACTCCCTCTTTACACTTTGGACTATACCTATCAGGGGGCGTATATTTCAAACACGTTATGTGCAGTCACACTCCCATGATGAATATGACCACAAGTTAATTAAAGTATACAAAACACCTATTAATTAATTAGTTTTCGTTTATTTATTTATTCTCTTCAAAACTTTGTGGGCACGTGCGTTTTTGCCTTTACTCCCCTGCCTATGTAATACAATGAAAACATTCCATTTTTACACTATATAGCGATGATAGTATTGATGTAATGTTTAAAATGAAAAGAATTGTCAAGGTTTTGTAAAAAAAATAAAAATTTCTCAACAGCTAATCAACGGATATTTTAAGTAACGAATTTTCTGACAATAGGAGGCAGTAAACCACGTGTCTCAACACCTTTAGTCATCAATAAAATTCGCCAATACAAAGAACAAAACAGTTCTTTGTTTGCGTGGGAAATTAGAGAGCGGCTACTCTACGATGGGATCTGCGCACGTGACTGCTTACCAAGTGTGTCATCAATTAATCGCATCTTACGTCGAACCTTAGGTAGAAGCAAACCTCGTAACCACTTTCGTCACACACTTAAACCAGCGGCCTGTGAACCCGATGCACGGACGAGGAGCGACCAAGAGCCTTCCCAAACGTCTCCAGTATGGTCTACGTCTGATCCACATCAGGGCACCAGAAAAGCAGCGTTTTCAATTCGAGATATTCTAAACCTTAAAGAAGAAAATAACGAAATAAAATGAACTATGCTTCCAGGACATTAAGATATTTAAACAGGAATACCAGTTTCACTGAATACAGCTTAAACGTACACTGCAGAGGTGGCCAGTTAAGTAATAACAGTAGGAGAGTCAGATTTCTAGACGTGTCTATAGTATATTCAGATTGTGTGTATATGTATATATAAAAATTAAAATAAAGATAATGGCGATACTACTGAGAACTGCCGTAGTGGGTTTTATTCCAAACCGTCTTATATAGAAATAAACTTTTCACATAAAAGTCGAAACAATTAGTACTACTTCATGCTTTGGTAAGTCGGTTCACGTATTCTTTGTTAAAAGGGTACTTTTAAGGCAATATGTTAACAAGTTGAGCGGTTTTCTATGGACTGATCTTCTAATTCGTATCTGGTTCGGAGATGACGTTCAAGGGACCTTTAGGACTTAAAGAATCCCAAACGTCGTCTCCAACACAGGCAGGAGCATTGCATATAAAACTATTCACACACACACACACACAGGGCTGCCAGAACCATCACTGTGTTCCAAGAGAGATTAGCGTTTGGAATGTTGCCTCACACACGCTTGAGTGATTGAAAGTGCGATTAATGTTTGCTTTAATGTTCCGAACTGATTAGATACATTCTATTAAAAAAATATCGTTCTTATATGCCCTCTGGTGGACAACTGGCTGCAAGGAAAGAAATATATTCGGCTTCCCCCTTCTGCATACAGTCTGGAAGGATACGCACCTTTGGTTTAGCCATTACTACCTATTTCAATCATTTGTGTTCAATGTAAAGAAAATGAAATAATTGCTTTTCTAAATCTTAAATTTGGACAGTTTATGATTGTTTGTTTTTACGGTCAGTCCCATTAACAGCCTTTTCTTTAAAGGAAATGAAGTGGGTTATTTATCGCATGCTTATTTTATTGTTCGCAAGACCTTGATCTTCCTCTTCTGAGCCTGACAATGATATCTATAGGAGGGGGGAAATGATGATTTAAAAACAGTATCCGCTGTCAGTTCCAATTCTCACACAATAACTTTTTATCATTATTCGCGTGTCTAATTGTCACTGTAACTTTCGTAGGTTATAAATATTTAACCTGTATAATTTACCCACCTACAAACAATATTTTCTGGGCTGGTCAAGTGTATGTAATCCACACACTCGACCAGTCCAGAAAGTCAGATGTATTGCCAAAGCGTTTCAGAAACAATTTATGGCACAACTTTCAAAATATAATTCCGGTTGCGCCATCTATAGGGAGATTAATGCTGCTTTTCTTCTACATTATTTTTATTATACGTTTCTTCTTTACTGCAACAGTGCTTTAGTGACTGTTGAAACGTTTTTCACGAGAACTAACAGAACGTTAATCTAAATATCACATTAAATTTATCCAAATTTTCTCCGTGTAAAACGTGTACTCCTATGGAGCGAGTTTAAAACTATCGTCCACACGCGCGTCGAACTATTTTAACGTCTTTAATTGTACGTGTTACTTTTAAATATACAACAGTGAAGGAAATATAACTATAAAATTATTGACAAACTACCTTCTCTACACAATTCTTGAAGGAACCCGACGTCTCCGGCAGGCGATGTAATTTCTTGTTTCTCCAGACAAAAACTTTTAGAATATAATAGATTACACGAATAAAATAAAGGCCCGCGTAATAATGTTAACGCTTACTGCCCGGATGTCTTCCTGTTTTTGTCGAAAAACTGCACAATGAGGTATCTGTACTATGCCCGTAGCAGAGATTGTCAAACTTCGAATTTTAACATCGTAAGCCCTCAAGCTTACCGCAGAGCTATCGGTGGGCTTTTATAACTTTGACTAATCATTCAATCAGTTTTTTTAAGTTAGCATTTTTTAGTAACGTATGTTGTATTTGGTTTAAAATCACAATACAGTTTCCATGGTACCGCGAAACCTTGCAAGACAAACCACAGAAAGAAGCTAAAAGCATTATTGTGTATTCTTTACTCCACCTCCTTCCAAAATTGCCAAACCAGTATTCTCATTCCTGTGGTAATACTAAAAGTTTACACACACACACACACACACACACATATCGCTTGGTAATAATAAAAAAACTAAAAGTTACATGAATCATTCCGTGCACACTTACACCTTAATTACAAGGGGAAATTTTTGTACCCAAGACAGAAGATTATGTACTACAGTTATGAAAAGTACAAACATAACAATTATGAGAAAAAATACTGACGCTATTCCAGTAGGCTAAACAAGGCTTCTTCAAGCCACCTACAGACAAAAATTGTAAATAATTGTAGATAGACAAATCCATCATATTATAATGCTTATCAATGCCAATCTCGTAACTATCGTCAACAAGTACTTAGCATCAGAAGTGAAGTAGATGGTAAAAAAATAAAAATAAAGGCTACTAAAATTATACGACAATTGAAGGAGACAGAGAAAAATATAACTAATAAACAGTTTATCGAAAAGAAAGGTAGAGGGAGATTGTGAGTTATGGACCAGTTTATTGGTTCTGTTATTTAGAATGGGATTGGCGTGAAGTAATGTAGATAACTACTTCAATTCACAATGCAATAGAGGCAATCTTAAAATTAGTGTTTCTATTTTTGCGTTTAAATATTAATCTAAAACGGGTTCTAAACCTTAGACCGGCTGAAATTAAACACTGTGAATAAGTGAATTACTTTGTCATAATATAAAAATACTGTTTAGTGTAGATATTATTGATTAATTTAATTTTGTGAGTGAATATTTAATTATTGTTTAGTGTTGTTATAATAAGAATTAAACGCAGACGATTGTAGGAAGTTGTGTTTATAAGTCATTGATATTGAGACTATCAAATGTCGCGCGCAATACACTGACATCGAAAATAGACGTTTCTAGAAGGCGGCAGACGATTAAGTGTGAGACGAGCGGAAATAGCGGACAGACAATAGCAGAAAAGAGTAGAGTTACGGGCAAGGAAAAGTTCGGCGTGAAGTTTACTGTGGAAGTGATAGGCCTAACGTTTAATATGTTAGAGTAAGACTAACCGTAGAAAAGGAGATAAGAATAATAATTATTCCGTCAAAGCATGGTTCTAAAGTAACTGAATCAATTTGAATGCTTTTTGACATAAGGAACAGAAGATTTTTCAGAAGAAAGAAGACCAAACGATTATAGTAACTCGCACCACAATTGTAAGCGAATCACTAACAATATACTAGTGCGACAGTAATAAAGAAGATAGTTCGGCTTGTGAATTGAAATTTAAAGCAATTGAATAGGCCTAAGTGGTCTTTGGACAAGAAGAAGAGGACTATATATAAATATTGTTTATGATATGTCTATAATCTCTATTGTGTGAAGAATTTGTTGTACATACGTTAACTTGTTCCGAATATATATTAGTTTGACAATAAGTGAAGTGTGTGCTGTTTATTTATAGTTGAATTTATCGCCAACAAGTCACAGACATCTACTGTGGAAGAATCCTCAGCCAAATAACACAGTATATATATTTGTACTATTAAGAAGTATAAGTAAAGGCCTTTTATTTTGACAATTGGCGAACAACCAATTAAACTAGATGATCTTTGACCTACTTAGGTCTTATGAGAAAAAGCCTTTAATTTCTTAGATCTTTGAAATTTTTAATGCAGTGTATGTAAAAGACGAATATTTTAACATTTTATATGACAATCTCCTGCTTAAAGGAGATTAGACCTTTCTTAATAAAGGAGTTTGAATCAAGAAACCACATTTGTTAAAATGTTAATGCAATTTGATTAAGTACAGCCACTGTGAGAAGGAAAAAGTCAGGGAATAGCGGCGATGCTCCTCCAGTCCGGAAAGGACTGATACAATCCCGGGATTTGGAGAGCACCATTAGCATGTGGATCCCGGGATAGGGATTGTAGCTCCTAATTGACAGTACTTTGTTTCTAAATTTCTTAGTTTGTATAAGCTGTTAATTCAAGTCCTCCTTGTGGAACAGTGTCTGGTCTAGTATTTAATAATTTTTAAATGAAATGATTATGGACTTAATAATATTCAGAATTGTATCTGCAGACGCATTCCGTTTTGAAAAATGGAAAAGCCAATAGAAAGCCGCCTGTACTCAAGTGTAATTGCTTACAATCTGGACACTGGACGACAGTTCTTGCTGGGTAATGGTGATGTAGTCAGACGCGTATACAAGATGGACCCGATCCAAGGGTTCATAATGTAAGATAAGTTTTAGAAATAAACCTATTCGGGCAGATCATTCAAGTTAACCAATCTCTCCCGTGTTCCGTTATTTTTTAATAAGTTAAGTTAGATAAGGAACGCAGACAGTTTAATTATTTTTGATTATAACAAAATGAAACAAATAACAAAAATTTAGAATACTGAGCCACTAAAATCCTGGGAGAGTGCGACCCCTATTGCCAATAATAAGAAGCAACTGGTTAAATATAATTTCCTGATAACGCATTACCACATCAGGTTACCCTACTGATACACAGTTGTATGATTTTATTGAGAAAGCTTAGCTGTCAATCTAAATCTCAACATGTATTTTCTAATAACTTGCTAATGCTAACAAAAATATCAAATAATAAACTCTAAGATTGTTTGGATATTTCCAGCATCCTGTTTTAACAAAAGTTACTAACAATTTTTAGCGTACAATAAACTTGGAAAAAGACTTAAATCGGACAACTACAAGAAGAAAAGTAATTCCGATGAAAACGTGTGGATTTTAACTTTGGGATTTCTCTTGTCTCAAACCCTTAGCTGACAAAGATATTAAGCTCAGACAGTTACATATGATAAAATACTGGAGTTAGGCACCGATTCCTAGAGACAACATAATTAACAGAATAACTTACGATAAAAACACATCTATTATTGTATAGTTTAATACCAAAATACCCCAAACTGACTTTAATGTATTTTTAACAGCCTGACATTCTCAGTTTTTACAACATTTACTTTCACTATTATTGAAGCTTATTTAACAAATATTATACATTTTCCTAATCGCTTTTAAAAGTTAAAATAATAATCTTTAGCTTACGTGATCCAATGTATATTTAATTTTATGATTTTCAAACTTACAGAAAACTATGGGCACGACATTTCGTTTGTCTATAATTTTCAATGTACATATTTATCGTCGAACTGAAGAACTTAAAACGGGTATTTTTTGACACCTAAAAACATAACATACAGATACAACAACAAAATTTGGTCCTTCAAAGCTGTCTCTGAGAAAAGTCAAAATTAAAAACCACCTTATATTTTTCGGAAATCATAAATTCCCCTCAAAGTTCTGTAACGTGCTGCCCTCTACTACTTCCGACGATATTTCTTACACCAATCACTCCGTTAGAAAATAAAACTATCTCGACTAGAGACTAGCCTAAATCCCAAACTTGTCTTCTCGTCGTGTTGTCTTCGAAATAAAGCACAAGGAAATCAGAGGTCTTGAGTCCTATCGTTCCCTCTCAATAATCTTAGAAACTGAAGATAAAACGAGCTAAGATGTTTTACTTGTCCCTATTAGCCAATATAATTTCTTAGATAAGGCGACCTAAAAGTAAAACTGTACATAGTATTCCAACTGATGCCTAACTAGTGATTTTCGTAGACAATTACCTACCTATTTTGACTTGTAATCAATGTGTCTACAAATATACCCTAATATTATATTAGTTTTACTACATGCAACAAATCACTGCTTCGATAGCACTGGATTAGTGAATTTGTAGGGTATTGATAGCTCCTGACGAAGCTGTAATAGCGAAATCTTGAACTAACATAGTTACATTCTGGAGACATAGGTCGTGATTTTATTTACGTTTATAGAAATGTCTTTTTTGGAATACGTTAACATTCTCGGTGAAACTAAAAATACCCAAACTAACTGTCATTAGTAAGCATTACTAATTATTCCCCTATTAATATTATTGATGTAAATAAGAAAAAGCAAAGGGCCAAGAGCTCGCCCTCTACTAACATTAGTTAAAAAAAGAAAGAAATGAAACGCTAAGGTTTCAGATTTTTTTTTATCACAAATATATATATATATTTTTTTACCCAGAAACTTATCACGTGGATTTCGCCTTTAGAAATTAGGCTTAAAAGAAACTTAATAAGTTCCGTTTAATGTAGTTATGTTTCTAAACGATAGGGGTGGTAAATAAATATTATTAGAGGTGATAGTGACAGTACGCTTGATTCTGATTGTAAACAGAAGATCCAAATAGGAGACGTTATAGTAATTTTCAGATGTTAATTATCGTACTTATATTTATTGAAGTCTATAGATCTTTGCTAAGCCTTAATCATGTCAGTACTGACAGTAGCGTCCTCTATTATTAATTACTATTTCACGATACTGCTAATATCATAAATCGTTATAATAGTAAAAGTTCACCAAATACAATAATAATAATAATTAAAAAAAAACATTCAGCAAAAGATTGAAAACAACCAAGTTAAATATCTCAGCACTGTGATACGAAGTTATTACCGAAACAAAGTTGAGTTGCGAACGTTACACTTTGCAAGAAAATTCTGAAGACAACTGCTAACTTCTGTTATTTAAATAGCTACATGGGTACTTTACCTTAATTACAACATAGCATGATCCTGTATAAACAGTCAGTTATAAGTTCCAAAAAACATCCTAAAATTTTCGCCCTCCTTCCTCTAATTTTCTTTTAAACAATTAATTCACTTTAATTAAGCAACATTTTTTTAAATTTCTCCATAACGATTTGTATGTATTTCATATAATTCAAATTTCCAGTAATATATGCAAATATTATTGAAATAAAAAACTAAGCACTTCACTCTGTTAGATTTCAAAATGGCCCGGCATGGCCAGGTGGTTAAGGCACTCGACTCGTAATCTGAGGGTCGCGGGTTCGAATCTCTCTCACACCAAACATGCTCGCCCTTTTAGCCGTGGGGGCGTTATAATGTGACGGTCAATCCCACTATTCGTTGGTAAAAGAGTAGCCCAAGAGTTGGCGGTCGGTGATGATGACTAGCTGCCCTCCCTCTAAGTCTTACACTGCTAAATTAGGGACG